TGGACATAGACAAAAAGATCATATTTTCGGGAAAGCTTTTAGTTGTTTGAGTTAATTTTTTGTGTCAGCCGAGTGGTAGTTGTTCCAAAAAAACTAAAGACCAAGTTTTTTTTCTTTTCGTGAGGAGAGATAGGAGCAGATAGGGGATCAGGTATTTGTTCAGGTAGGGGAGAGGGGTATTAATCAACATAGCTTTATAAAGCAATACTTAAATAATAGTTTGAAGGGTATGGTTGGCATTTTGCCTCTTTTTTTACCTAAGCAAATTTGTAAAGCCTTCCTTGCACCTTTTTTTTGTAGACTGAACTTTAACAACAGTTGCTCCTAAAAGCTTTAAACATCAGTTCCAAAATGTTTAATTTTTTTTCTTCTGTAAACCAACTTCTCATGCCCAAAAGTCTCTTATTCCACATAGAGCTTCCCAAAGAGCTGGTTGTCATGCACCCCACAGGCTGAGAGTCATCTGAAGCTTACTATGTTTCTAGACTAGACCTAATGATTGGCGGACATTCTTGTTTGAACCTCTCTGTGTGTGTTTAAATCACATAAGCACTAACTATAACAAAACTCGCATCTTTAAAAGGAGACAGGAGTAAAATGTCTTCACTATTTAGATTCTGAATATATAGCCATGTGATTATCCCATGTTTTGATGTTTTTTCTTGCGTTTAAAATGGTTGCAAATGCTTCAATGCTCATCAACTTTAACTGTGTTCTGTAAAGACTGTATACTTATATGCTTAACATGCAACAACTCCCCTAAATGAAACACTATTTTTTTCCAACTTTTTTTTGGCAGCTGAAAATTTGTTATTAAATTAATACTACTAATATTTTCTTTTTCAGTATGCCAGTGATGTTGTTATATTTATGTTTTTTTTATATTTGACAGCTTATTCTTTTTTCCTCTTTATCTTTTAGCATAACTTCAATTATCTTATCTATTCTTTTGTATAAAGTTCCTGCTTTTGCACGTTTTCTACACATTTCTATCTTATCTAATTTGTTTTCTTGTTTTATTCATGGTTTTAGTTCCAACTTCCAAGTCAATCATATGTTGTTCTTAAAAGGATGTTCTCATATTGTGAAGTAATTATTCAACCCACTTTCCCTTTTTTTCCGAAGACTTGCAACAGATTATTTTTTTTCGTTACTGTCTATTTTCTACTCTCATGTTTGGTGTTTCTGCTCTAAACTTTTTGTGTTTGTGACTTTGTGTTGATATAAGTGGACCTTTCATTGTTTGTGATTTTACTCATAAAATTGTGCACATTTAAATGGTTTTATTTAGTTGTAAAATGAGGTAATAGTAATTTTCTGCGAAATATTTTGGTGCAAAACGGTTTTCCAATAATGTTGTAAATGTATTATTTTCTTTAAACTGTGAAACTGTAACAGTTTACAAAGATCATGTAAGTAACTGAATGATTTTGTGTAAGTAGTCAACTAAAAATGCACTCCCCCGTTCCATTATATTCTTAACTATTTGAATTTACAGAGTTTAAGAAAGTTGTTGCAAAGTAAAAAGTGTAGCGTCAAGGCACAATGCTTGAGCTTGTTTGGATGGAGTTAATTTGCTTGAAATGATTAAATGTGCTAAACTTGCTAATATTTTTTGCTGTTGAAAATACGATGCACTTTAAAATGACTTCCCCCCCACCCCCCGAAAAAAACAATATGGGTCAATATGCGTGACAGATTGAAAATCAGTCATACTACAACAACTAAACACTGGTATGCAAAGATCCCAACAAAGTTTGCTTGTACTTCTGCAATGTTTTCTCAGCCACGCCAGACAAGTAAAGCAAATCCACTGCCACCTTACCACTGCTGCACACCTCCACTGCACTGCTGAATGGGCTAACACCCTCCTCTACAACACCCTGATCCGTGCATACTTGGGCTTTGCACAACCCACCACCACCCTCCTCCTCTTCACTCACATGCTTGCTCATCAAGCCCCACCCAACAACCACACCTTCCCTTCGCTCACAAAAGCCATATCTCTTCTCCCCACCCACTGGGCTCCTCTTCTCGGCAAACCCCTTCATGCTCAAGCCCTCAAGCGCGGGGCATCTTCTGACCCCTTTGTGCAAACCACATTTCTTGGGTTGTACTCCCAGCTAAATGAGCTGGGAAGTGCACGCAAACTGTTTGATGAGATTTCTGAACCATGCGTTGTGGCACACAACGCCATGCTTGATGCCTGTGGGAAGAATGGGAATATGGATCTGGCTGTTTTGATGTTCTCTGCCATGCGCAAAAGGGATATCTATTCTTGGACAAGTGTGATCAATGGGTACGCAAGAAATGAGCTATTTGAGGAGGCTGTGAAGTTTTTCAAGAAAATGATGGCCCATGATGATATAATTAGCGGCTCATTGAAACCCAATGAGGCCACTTTCGTAAGCATTCTATCATCATGCACGGCATTGTATCAAGGGAAGCAAATACACGGAAACATGGTGAAGAATGTAAAGCTGACTGATTTCATGGGAACCGCATTGATATCTCTCTATGGGAGAATGGGTTGTTTGGATTACGCAAAAAAAGTATTTGACACACTAACTGTCAAGAAAGCATGCACTTGGAATGCTATGATCTCTGCCCTTGCCATGAACAGCAGAGAGAAACAAGCATTGGAGACATATGAAACGATGAAGTCTACAGGCCTGAAACCAAACGAGGTAACCTTAGTAGCAGCCCTTTCGGCGTGTGCACATGCCGAACTCGTGGAATATGGTCTGGAAATTTTTGATGCAATGTCTCAAGAACTTAAGATTGAACCTAAGATGGAACACTATGGTTGCATTGTCGATCTCTTGGGAAGGGCCGGGCTTGTTGAGGAGGCGTATAGGTTTGTAGGGAGGATGCCTTTTGAAGCAGACGCGTCTGTGTTAGGAGCTCTTTTAGGAGCCTGTAGGGTCCACGGAGAGGTCGAGCTGGGGAATGAAGTGGGGAGGCGCCTGTTCAACTTGCAACCAAAGAAGTGCGGCAGGTTTGTGTTGCTGTCTAGTATATATGCAGGCGCAGAGCGATGGGATCATGCTGCTGCCTTGCGAAGGGCAATGGTTGATGCCGGGATTGAGAAGATTCCTGCTTTTAGTGTGATTCAGTGAAGCCTTTTTTTATCTGGACAATGCTAGGGGTACATCAAAATAAGTGTGCTATTTGTACACTAAGCACTAACAGACACACAGACACTCAATGTCTGTGCATTGTGTTTGTCTGTTAATGCTTGATGTACAAATGGGGTACCCCATTTTGGTGTACCCATAGTTTAATTCTTTTTTATCTATGTGTAAAAAAATAGTGAAGCCTTATATCTTGTGCCATGTTTTAGGTCTGCAAAGTGTCCTCCATTAAGACATGGGATTTCATGTTATTGTTGTCATATGAAACAATTTGCTGTAAATGTGAAAATGTTAACTGCTGTGATTTAGTTGTGCTCATGTTACATTACAATGTATAATGTGATACACCCTTCAAGGGGCGTGTGTTCTTTTTTTTTTTGTACAAAACCGAAAACCGGACCGAACGCAAAATATTCGGTTATTGGTTTTTCGAACAAACTCATTTGCCCTTTAAACATTTAAAAAAAATAAAAATCATCTTCTCATATTTTTGAGACGCATGTTTCCCTCATTTTTTTAATTAAAAACTTTTACGCCCAACAAATTATATAATTATTATTGAATATTTTTATTCCGCTTTTACTAAAATAAAAAAATAAGTAGGTATATTTATATGGAGTACCTTATTTTTTACTTTTATACTCTATAACCTTCTCATATACTACGTACTCCGCATGAAGATGATTCTAAAAGCGAGAAATCAATAAAAGAATGATGAGAGGAACAATGAATAATGACTAGAAACAAGGTGGCAATAAAGGGGAGGACTATAAACACACAAAATGAATACATGTACCATTCTATAATCCAGCATTTTCATAATTGATATTAATTCGTTTCCTTCAATGAATTTAAATGTACAAATAATATTATTTGTACAAAGCAACAATTGATAGTTTCATACTAACAATACATTCCAATCCAACTTTAGTGTAGGTACCACATTTGTTAACATTCAATTCATTTATTTTTATTAATTGTTGTTGAGCCATGGATGCAATATCAATTACTCCGTAGAAAATATCCCGGAGCAAAAGAATAGAAAAAAGCCATATACCTCATCCATTTTAGAATAATTTGTAACATTTTTCACGCTTATTAGCATACAAAATAATATTATCAGTATTTTCAATTGCATTTTTAGTAAAGATTCTAAGAAAAATGATGATATTCTTTCGTTTTTATAATATGGATTTAACAAATGTCACATGAATAAAGAATACTCTCCATATTTTTAATGGATTACTTATTTTAAGAATATGTCAAATGAGTATGTTGATAGTGTAGATTTTTATGCATTCTATCTATTTTGCAACAAAAAAGCAAGTAAAATTAACACATTAGATAATATATTTTTCAACTAGGATCATTGTTTCTTCTCCGTTGGATGGAAAGGACAATTCTCATTTTGACTTGACATTTTATCAAGAAAAAAAATCGTCATTATTTAGAAATGAAAAAACAATATCAAGATATATACTCTCTAAAAAAGGAAAGTCAAAATTATTACTTTGTAAATCATACTTCTTCTGTTTAAAATATTTTACAATTTACGCAAAATGAAACAAATTTTTAAGTTTTTTTAAAATTCTATTTAAAATTTGGTAAAGAAATTAAAAATAAAACTTACATATTTAAAAACTGCGCCAAAAGTTTTTTCAACTTTTGAGTAATGAAGAGTATGATTCTTTTTTATACAAGAATATTTTATTTTATCAAATAATTTAAAAAACACACAAATACGTAGTAAATAATATTTTTTTGTGACTTTTGAGTAATGAAGAGTGTGATTCTTTTTTAGGAGAAGAGAGCATGTGTGAGATTTATATAAATATAAATAATTTGAAGCATACATTACCTCAACTTAGCATTATTTTTGGTAAAAGAAAGAAATGTTAGAAAAAGGATTAGGCTAATTTTGCAGTTTGGAATTTGGCCTGATCGGTTGATGCCGCCAATCTTTCACAGTGTTGCGCAGAAATTACCAGAGAGAGAGAGAGTAGGGAGGTTTGTGTAGCGTGTAGATCTAAAGAGAGAAGGGAAGGTGTGGTTGGTTGATGGGAAATGGCGTACATAGACAATTTGCCGCCAATGGATCTGATGCGTTCGGAGAAGATGACGGCCGTCCAGCTCATCATTCCGGTCGAGTCCGTTCACCGTGCCGTTACTTACCTCGGCCAACTCGGCCTTCTCCAATTCCGCGATGTACGCTCAGATCTCTCTCCCTCTCTGTTTTAATCTCATGCTTCCTTGTCTCTGATCGCATGCGGATGATTCTATGATGAAATTCATGTCGGTTTCTGTGCCTCTGTAGGCTTCTAGGAGCATACGTACCTGTGAAATGACGATGTCAGTTTTTGTTTAGTTCCAGGGATTCTCTGTTTCAAGCGTAATCATATGTTCTTTAATGCTTGGAAAATTATAACTATGAACTTTTGGTGGTTGTGGATCCAGTTTTTCATTGCTAAGTAACAACATTGTAGGTGTAGCTACAACAGTGAAAGAATCTGTTGGTTTTAGATTAGGTAGATACTATGAATACACACGACTTGTTGAGTTCGCTTAACATGAATTCGATTGCAATGTGCTACATGCCAGAAGAATGTTTTGTGTTTAAGTGAATGATAATGTTTTGATTATCATTGACCAATCTTCATTTCATGAATTTGTGCATGCCTAGGTGCATTGATTTTTTCAGTTAACTTATGACTTGATCATCTGTTGTCGTATTGAGCTTCTCGTTGTTGTGTTTAAGCACTTAAGCCTACTCCCCAGTTCCCCTACCCTTTTTAGTTTCTTTCTTGTTATGGCCTTACCTATTCCAAGGTCATCATTATATTGTCAAACTCTATTTATTCTTATTGGACTTGCCAAATATTATTTCAAATGATGGCCAATGTTTAATCTTATGATGTGGAATTCTATTCGTTCTGGTCTTGCGATTATTGTTATCGTTGAGGAAATGCGTTCACTATATATCACTTCTTTTACAGTTAAATGCAGATAAGAGTCCCTTCCAGCGAACATTTGTTAACCAGGTATGCTTAATAAAAAATTTTATGAAGTGCATTGTAGAAAGATTCCAGATAAACTCAATTTACTCTTATTCACTCTACTTTTAACTAATGAACTGATGGAATTGATATTGGATGTTCTTCCCGGTAGAAGTAAAATAAGATAAGAGTGCTATGTAGCATTGAGGAAAAGTACTATTGTTAAAATTTGCCAAACATAGTGCTGCTAGACATGAAATATACTATCTCCCTTCCAGTATGCTTGTCCCTTTTTTCACTTTGGTATGCCCCAAAACTTGTCCCTTTTTACCATTTTGCCATGCCCTAGTTTTTTTGTTACATACTCTCTCCGTCCCATAATAGTTTCCCCACTTTGACTTCATCAAGATTAAGAAAAATGTAAAAAAGTGAAAAGTGTGTGATTCGAATTTGTTTAGAAAAATGAGAAATAGATTGGACCACATATCCTACATGTCTTTTTCTAAAAAGAGAAAGAGAAAAAGTGAGAAATTTATTTTGGGATAAATAGAAAGAAAAATGGGAAAACTATTGTAGGACAGAGGGAGTATGATGTTTGGTACTCCCACAGTCCCACAAAAGTTGACCTATTGCAAATATCAAAGTTTGACTGAATTATTTTCAATTCAGTTTATTATAAATATTTTTTGATCACTAGTAATTTTGTCACAATGCAGTATTTGTTTACATTTTTTTTCTCAACCTATTGAAGCTTAGAGTGTTATCACCCCACTTGTGTTTGAACGTGTGACCTCTTACTTAGGAGAGCCATAGTCTTGCCGTTGGACCACAAGGTCTTTGTCAATTTATTTTATATATTGGTGTATAATTTAAGGGTCCGTTTGGAAAAGAGGAAAATGACTTCTGGAAGTCATTTCCCCCCTTTCTGGTGTTTGGCAAGTTTAGTAAAATAAGGTAAAAGTTTATATATTTTAAAATTACAGAGTACATCAAAAGCTATATAAGACAAAAGGTGATGCGACTATGTTATATAACATATGATTAAGAAATAGCTTGACATGTAAATAGTGCTATGAGACAATTTTGTGAAACCTAGGAAGTATGATTTATATGGATAAAATCAATTCATACTTTATAAATTCAATATTGTTATGGATCCTTAGTTGTTGTTATTAAAGTTGTTGTGGTTGTTATTATTATTATTATGGATAAAAACAATTCGTACTTCACAAATTCAATATTGGTATGGATCCTTAGTTGTGGTTATTATTATTATTATTATTATTATTATTATTATTATTATTATTATTACTATTATAATTATTAGTTTCATATTAGTGTCTTATTTTATTTAGTTAATATTCCTAATAAGGATCTAGTTCCATAATATGACTATGGTTGGTCTCTTGTACGGCTTCGCCTATTTGTATTCAACCAATTCATTAACAACATTATTGTTTAAGCAAATTAAGAATTCAATTGTCATGGAATTTTGAACCCTAGGGCTTCTTCTTCCATGGGCAACAAAGAGGATTCTCTTGTTTTCCTTCTGCCTCTCTCACCACAAGAACCTAGACAAGGGCTAACACTTGAGCCCTTAATAAATATCAAACACACAAATTTGCATGTCACTCTCCCATGTCCTAAAAATAGTCAGACAGATGGAGTACATGAAGCTTATCTCATCTAGTTTCTAGTTATATGGAAAAAGATGTAAAAGAAATTATAGTTTTACTGAGGAATGGATAAAGATATTTTTTTCAATGTAAAACAAGAGCTATTATGGAAACAAATACTAGGATTTTTTTATGAAGCACTATAGGAGATGAAATCTGGAATAGGCTAGGTAGTTTTGGAAAATAAACTCTTATTTTAGCATTTGATTTGTTTTACCAGAGAGCTAATATCTTAATCATAGCTTAAAAAACAAGCTCTACCAAAGAAATCCTTACAAGTAACAACTCACATATGGGGCGGGGTGGGGGGGGGGGGGACTGAACTTTTTGCCAATTGATAACATGCTTCAAAGTTTTGGGAACCATTTGGCAGCCCTTTTCTTTTTAGAATTTATTTAGTTTATGGTTCTGCATAGCAAAAACAAGAGATAGTGTCACGACTGTCAGATCATGTATGATACTACCTCCGCCCCCAAAAGTAGTCATGCTTGACCAATGTACAACTTTTAAATTTTGGTAAGGTACAACTAGTCTATCTTATTGGGAACTGTTTTGACAAATTACATGAAATATTAGCTTCAAGCAAAATGAACTTTTTGGTGCAAAAAGTGTTTAAAACATTACTCTGGTTTCCTTTTTGGAATGGAGTATATATGTTTCGTTATGTGAAGATTTCTCGATGAAAACACAATGATGGCACAGTGACTTGCATGATGAGCAAATCTGTATTGGTAGTGCTGAATCTGCTATCAGCGTATAATTGTGAAGGTCTGTAATGAGTTTCTGGAATATCCAGTGCTGTCTCACGCTCGACTAATCCCCCTAACGGACTTCCCTGTTGGACTCATAGTGTTGGAGACTGATTATGGGACTATAGATTTGAGTGGTTTGACCCGCAACTCATGAATATTGCCTGGCATCACAAGCTCGGCCCAAGGCCCAACTGGACAGCATGTCAGTTGGCACTACCTGCTCGATGAGAACTCGTCCATCAGCTCAGAGCCTCAGACATTACGCTTGGCATTACCTGTTTGGCTGTTGGGCAATGAACCACCCATCTGTTCAGGGTTAATATAGTTCGGTCAAGATAGTGTTAAATTACTCCAATGTTCACCGTTCACAAGTCCACTATGCATCGTACAATCATGACCTCTACTTCTATAGTCACATTTTGTTAACAAATTAAGCTGTATAAATAATAAAATACACATTAACATGCACTCTGTGTTCTCTGATGTAGAAGCATTGTCAAGGTATGCCACACACCTTTACACGGCGTATCCTGCCCATCACCTGTCGTGACTAACCCAACTCCTGCCTTACGTTGAGCCCTCAACGCCTTCTGCTAACAAACTGCACTTCTGTGTTTCGTGCCTGATCAATCTACTCTATCCAACCCCCATCTTTATATATTCCTTGTGATGATGATCAGGTAAAGTTCCATACCAAACACTTGGCTCCAATGGATTCAGAGACTACACAATTAAGTATCATTACATTCAGTTGTTGCTTGTTTGGATACAAGTTTTTAAGGTGAAAAAGGACCTGTTAGTCTGTTACATCTCATACTCTTATTGCCACCTATAAGGATGGAAAACTAGACTAACTTGGATCATATGAATAGTTGTGGATAAATTTTAATAGCTTAATTCTTTTCCATACTTTTTTTGCACTTTGCATTTACAGATATTATATCATGCGACTTACGATTGTTAGGTGACAATGGTTTGTATTGAGCTTTTCGCAGGTGAAAAGATGTGCAGAGATGTCGCGGAAACTGCGATTTTTTAAAGATCAGATACACAAAGCTGGTCTTCGACTTTCTTCTTCTCCTGCTTCACAACCTGATGTTGAGTTAGAAGGATTAGAGGTCTCCTGTTACTCTGAACTACTCTGAAACTTAAGAAGTGGGCATCCGTCAGTTACTCATTTTAATAAACTGATACCTGCTATTTATGTTTTCCTTGGATCCTAGGTACAAATTGCAGAGCATGAACAAGAGCTAATTGAAATGAACTCTAACAGTGAGAAATTGCAGAAATCTTATAATGAGTTGTTGGAATTTAAGATGGTGTTGCAGAAGGTAAAACATCTATCCTGATCCACCTTCAAGTATGTCAAGCCTGTAATAGATCTACTGAGTTGGAATCGAAATTCAGAACCTTTCTTAACCTTGATGAGTCTACTATTGTTGAACCCATCAAATGAGTGTAAATTGTTGGTTTTGTACCTTCTATCTACTGTCCCGTTTTCTCTCTCATTTTCCTTTTTAATCATTTCCAAAATAATGTCAACTTTCCCAATTTAAGCACTAACTTTCTATTTTTCAGTTCACCTTTTCCCCACTTTTAAAATGATTTGGCATTATGTGATATATCTGAGCAACAATTTTGGAAAGTACATAGAGAGTATCTCACAAAAAACTGATATCCCTTATATATTGGGACAGAGAGTATAGTTGATTATCACCCCTCGAGTATGCTTGTCAGCATCCATATAATCATTGTGTTTGTTATGGCTTTAAATTCACCTCAGATGTGTGTACAGTGTACATTTAGCTTCAATTGTGTTGTGTATACATTTGTTACTTCGAGCATACTCAATTACCTTTTCAAACAGTGTTCACATTCTTATAGTGTACTATCGGACCACATATTTTTCTTTCCATCTTCAATTGTGTCCTTATTTCATAATGTGGGCAATTCTAGGCTGGTGAGTTTCTTCTTTCAAGTCAAACTTCAGCCCAGGAAACAGAACTAGATGAAAATGTGCACTCTCGTGATGAATATGCTGATATAGCGTCATTACTTGAGCAGGTAATATTTTGTTGTCACCTTCTAACTGTTAATATGCATGATAAATCGTTATAATTTTATATGTATGAATGTATGTGCGCATTTATTTGATTTTTTTATCACACAGGAAATGCAACCTGATGTGTCAACTCATGTAAGATTTATTAGTGGCATAATCTGCAAGTCCAAAGTTCTTACATTTGAAAGGATGTTGTTTCGCGCTACAAGGGGCAACATGCTTTTCAATCAGACACCAGCTGAATATGAAATCATGGATCCTACTTCAAATGAAATGGTGATCTCTTTTTTTTTTTACTTGTCATTGATCTTGAAATGTTTTACGTTACTTTTACTTAGTTTTTATTTCTCGGGAAGGGTTAATGACCAAAAGTAGAGGTAAAATAAATGAACCAAGAGTGTTGCGGGTTTCCTGACAAAATGAGTTAGGAGGTAAAGGAAAGAAAGTTATGGAGTAAAAAATATACTCCTTATATCTTAGATAGCCATCATGTGTATAAGTGTGTTGGCTATTAGAAACCCAGGTACTAGTAACTGTATGCCAAATACACACTGTTGAAAAACAGACGCTTATTATTATACACTTATCATTGGCATCACAAGTAACATAAACCTCTGGCTGGCTTCCTTGATTATATACACCTATTATTTGGACCAAACAACTATGTTCAACTTTGACAGCTCAGACTTGGATGTATAAATACATCAATGTGGATTGTATTGCTGTTATTTACACAAAGAAATAAAAAAAATCCATGCAACATGGTTCACTCCTTCGTCTTCTTTCAGTAGTTTTTTCTATTATTTAGCCTCAAAGACCAATTTCATTAGTTTAATACTAGTACCTCTCATGTTTTGCTTACGCAGGTTGAGAAGATAGTATTTGTAGTTTTCTTCTCAGGTGAGCAGGCAAGGACCAAGATACTGAAAATTTGTGATGCGTTTGGAGCAAGCTGTTATCCTGTTCCAGAAGATAGCATCAAACGGAGGCAAATAACTCGTGAAGTATGTTTTAAAATGATTACTTCTGCCCTCGCTGTTATTGAAGGAAAAAACTTTATGAAAACTTTATGAAATTTTTATTGTAGTCAAAATAACTTCTTCTCTGGCTTTTTGCTCATATGTGGTTGGAATATGTGACTTTCTAAGACAGTCTTGTGAAACTACTTCTCATTAGGGCTATTCTTTAATTCCATTGGACCACTAGCTTGTATGATTATAGCCGCAAAAATTGTGAATATAGAACTCCAGTGTGCATAGAGAGGTTTTTTCCATCTTGCTTACTATTGTTCCCAGGGATTGAGAGTCATACCTAATTACCTATTACCTATGATAATTTAACTTCTTGGTGACAGGTTTTGTCTCAATTATCTGATTTAGAAACCACTTTGGATGCTGGATTACGTCATCGAGACAATGCATTGAACTCTATTGGGTTTAATCTCACAAAATGGATTAACGTGGTAAGAAGCACACTTCTTTGAAGAGGTTTTCACTTCGCATATCAATATGGAGGCAGTTTGGATTGGTTATTATTTATTAATATGATTTCAGAGTATGAGTTAAGAACAACCACGTTTTCTAGGTTAGAAAGGAAAAGGCAGTATATGACACGCTAAATATGCTGAATTTTGATGTTACAAAAAAGTGTCTTGTTGGTGAGGGCTGGTGTCCCATATTTGCAAAGACTCAGGTACTTAGTTCTGAACGTTTTTCAGTGGATAAATATATGTAACCTTCTTTATATTAGCTTATGAGAAAATGCTTGTGTCAACATAGATTCAAGAGGCTTTACAACGTGCAACATTTGATAGCAATTCACAAGTTGGGATAATATTTCATGATATGGATTCCGTTGAGTCACCTCCAACATACTTCAGAACCAACCGTTTTACAAATGCATTTCAAGAAATTGTGGATGCATATGGGTAAGTTGAGAATATGCTTTGACACTCACTTTAATAAGACACATGATACTATAACATAATCTTAACTAGCCACAGTCAATTGCGCTTTTGCAAGAATACAGAAATTTAATTACATACTAAATACTTGTGTCTTACTGAAGTATTTATTTCTTCAAATTTCTTTTTCAGGATTTTTTTGTGTTTACTCAACAGCTTTGCTTTTGAGTACTTAGCCTCTAACATTTTACCAGTGAGCTAAAAGCATATGCTTTCTCTTGACTAAGAAGCTATATTGCTTCAGTTCCAGACATCCAGTTATTCTCTGTATCGTTTTTGTCACACTTAAAGGAGGTCTGCATGGTGATATCATATTTTATATGGTGACATTTACATGTCTAGGTGAATCGGGGATGATGAAAAAGAAAAGGCTCTTGTTGTCAAAGATAGGCATTGCAGCCAATATCATCTGCTTTAAACTCCATCTGTTTAAAAGCTATATAAGACATTCATATGGACTAAAACCATTCACAAAAAATACCTGTGTTATCCACTTACCCATGGAAAATTGTGAAAGCTCTAATATCAACTTATTTTGTAGTGTTGCAAAATATGAGGAGGCAAATCCTGCGGTTTATACAGTTATTACATTTCCTTTCTTATTTGCTGTGATGTTTGGGGACTGGGGTCATGGAATTTGTTTGCTATTGGGAGCTTTGTTTCTTCTAGCTCGAGAGAAAAAGCTCAGTTCTCAGGTATGTCTTCATAGTGTATTTAGCTTCTAGTGTGAAGATTTTTTTGAAGACCAGATATGTAATTATCCATTTTATGGTTACTTTTTTGCTGCCAGAAACTTGGGAGCTTTATGGAAATGTTATTCGGTGGCCGCTATGTTCTCCTCTTAATGTCCATATTTTCAATTTACTGTGGGTTAATATACAACGAATTCTTCTCTGTTCCCTTTCACATATTTGGTAACTCTGCATATAAATGCCGAGATGCTACATGCAGGTGAACACATCCTAGTGCATTTTTATCTATTTCTATTTTGACGTGACCTCAAATTTATGATCTTTAAAATCGTCAATACCGTTTAGACTTCAGAGTTTGGGTGGGATGATCCTTATCCAGATTGCCAAAGCCCCAATCCCGATTAAAGATTAAAAATAATTTGAATCGTGTCCCAATTAAGATGGGATCACGACAATTAAATCCCAATTAAGAACTCCCAACAATAAATTTCATATATTGTACTCTGTATGATATACAATTTTGTTAAAAATTAAAAGAAAATCACTCATGAAGCACACCTTACAAAAAGAACATAAAGTAAACTAGGAGACCATTAAAAAAACTTGAAAGAAAAAGATTTGAATATCACTTATATAAAAGATATGAAGTAATATTGTTTCTAGAACTAAACACATAAATAAAGATTTTAAATGTAAGTCTACCTGTAAGGCTGTATCTGTGTAGAAGATTATATACAAAAAGGTGTTTAAAGATAAAAAATAACTGAGAAGTGTTTGCTATTTTACAATGGATTGTCGGAATGAGGATTATCTGGATTTATTTGAGTTTTGCAATGGTTTGTTATGCTTCCTTCCTATCCCACCAAGTAAAACACTAAAACATTATATTTGGACATAATGATCCAATGGAGTTGAAATGCAGTTGGATGAAAATTGCCAGCAAAAAAGGGTTTTAAGATGAATTGGCTTGAACATAGTTTTGCTTTCTTCTGAATGAAACAAGGTGCTATTTTGGAAAGGTCGATTCCTTTAAGATGAAACAACCAGTTAATCTAGACATATAATGAGCTCTGCCCAATTGAAGTGTGGATACTTCTTTTAATTTCTGTAAAAAAATATGCTAGCCCTGTTAATTCCCGACTGGACTCTAGGTCGTCCGTGACCGCCTTGGTCTTTCCTGCATAGGCTCCATCTAATTCCTCTTAGGTCCTGCCTAACCGGAATTAATCCATGTAAGCACTACTAGAACACAGTATTTACAGAACTTGTTTGTCTTTACAGAGATGCTAGCACAGTTGGTTTAATCAAATACAAAGACCCATATCCATTCGGTGTTGATCCAAGTTGGAGGGGTAGCCGTTCAGAGCTGCCTTTCTTGAACTCCCTGAAGATGAAGATGTCAATTTTGTTGGGTGTGGCACAAATGAATCTGGGAATTATTCTTAGTTACTTTAATGCACGTTTCTTCAGTAGCTTGATTGACATTAAGTATGTATGGTTCCATCTTCTTTCTTCTTTTTAGTGATAATTCACTGGTCTGGATAGAGGGAATTTATTATGAGAGTGTGTTACAGGTATCAGTTTGTGCCTCAGATTATTTTCCTCAACAGCCTTTTTGGATATCTTTCACTTCTCATCGTTGTCAAGTGGTGCACCGGTTCCCAAGCTGATCTTTACCATGTCATGATTTACATGTTCTTAAGTCCTTTTGAGGATCTTGGTGATAATAAATTGTTTTGGGGACAGAGTGTGCTCCAGGTCTGAAATCATTTGCATCTTCCTATAAACATACAATATTTAGGTCAGTGTTGTTTCCCTTTCTTTTTTTAGCATAATATACTGTTGCAGGTCATACTATTGCTTCTAGCACTTGTTGCTGTTCCATGGATGCTCTTCCCAAAGCCTTTCATTTTGAGGAGACTCCACACTGAGGTATACATGTTTCTGCTTTACTCATCTTTCCTGCCTTTATTTTTTGTTTGTTTATCCATCATCAGCCTTTCTTGTGTGCTGGTGTTAATGGTTTCAATTATTTAGTTAGGAATGCAAACTACTCCCTCCGTGTGGATTTAGTTTACTTTTCGAAGTACTCCAAATTTAAGTATTATGATAAGATGACCATGGGCTGCTGCACGGAAGACAGAACAGGGGAGGTGCTATTGTTCTGAGGGGATATGTTGGGCAGTCCATGTAATTTAATTTTCCACGTATAGTAACTGAACGACTAATCCCGGATGTTGGGAAAAGAAAAGTGTGCAACTAAATCCAGATGGTGGGAGTACCAATTATGTATTGTTCCCTCGGTACTAGTATCAAATGAAGTAGTGACGATGCTGTTTTCTATCCTTTTAACTTTTATGCTTAGAGATTTCAAGGTCGAACGTATGGGATTCTAGGAACTTCTGAAATAGATCACGAGGATGAACCAGGTTCAGCAAGGCCACACCATGAGGACTTCAATTTTAGTGAGATTTTTGTGCATCAAATGATACACTCTATTGAGTTTGTCCTTGGTGCTGTGTCCAATACCGCATCATATCTAAGATTATGGGCTTTGAGGTTTGTACACCATATGCCGCATGTTATTGATCAAACATCTGTCTAGTCTCCCAATTGCAACACGTTTTTTTTACGATGCAGCTTGGCCCACTCAGAGCTTTCGACTGTCTTTTATGAGAAAGTCCTCCTCCTTGCCTGGGGGTAAGTTTTCTAAGGAGCTTTATCTTCTTTGTTTTAATTCAACTTTCAATTGTAGCTCCCAATTTGCATGATATGTTGTCCATTAAGATTTGGTTATGGTGGAGGTCACGGGGGGGGGGGGGGG